GTGTGGAACACAGAGAGTAACAGTATGGAAGAAATTCTATGTGATCTACAGTTTTTTCTTCGTGAGGAAAGTGGCAGTACACGTATTGACATTCTTCTTCTACTGTATAGTTGTGCCAACAAGTGTCTTCTTCCCTGAAATCTACATCCCTACTTGGTCTACCATTTACGTTCCATTTTTGATCAGTATCTTCCACACAATGGCAACTCCAAGGTACCTCATGATTTATATACTCATCATTCAGATTAATCTCTCTTCTTGCTTCAACTAATTAATATGCATGTATTTGTTTATATATATTTCAAATCAACTAGGTCCTTCTATCTCGTGATAATCTGGATCTTGTTCGAGAATGTTATGGCTATGCATCGAACCAAAGGAACGTGCATTGGCCTACTCGAAGGAGGAAGAGTGAACGAATGGGTTGTCACCGAGAAATTAGGAGATGCTTTAAAGAGTAAGTTACTCTCTCGGGTCGTCCAACGAAAATCTTATTACGAAAGGTGAGTAATTTTAAAAAAAATTTGCTTGGATTACTAACAAGTTTTGGCATTTCGTCTATAACATCTTTGGTGTTTTTCAATGAAAAATAAAATTGGTATGGTTTTGTTGCAGAGTGAATTCAAAGGAAGTGATGGTGGGGATTTACATATTGGGATGTGCAATCTATGGAATGGTCAATGGCCACACATGGTTACATTTCTATCTTTTTCTTCAGGCCACTGCCTTCTTCGTCTCTGGTTTCGGTTTTGTCGGAACCTAAATGAATTGTCTAGGCTCATTAATGCTAAATTTATTGTTACACTATTGTATCTCATATTATGTATTATTTGTTTTGTTTTTTTTGAAAAAATGTATGTTGTTGTGTGGTAATTACCTCATATGATGTTGTTTAACGAATAAGCCACAATTTGAATGTAGCTTTTCTCATATGAATATGTATTATCATTTATTTGAAAGTCGAACCTTGTTCTGTTTGTCCCTTGTCTTTTGAATTTTTGCAAAAACATTGCAGAACCTTTACGAACTAAATTAAAGACTCTTTTTCTTTCAGTTTGTTTAAATTTATATTGTTTCACAAGTTAAACCAAATCCAAATAATAGTTGTGCGAGTCAAGATTTCCTGATCAGATCCAATCCCCATTCTTCAGAGGTGGTTATCAAGTTGGTTGTGGTGATAGCCATAGTATAGACAGCGGAAGTCATGGTGGTGGATGAGGTCTTGGTTATGATGGCGGTGGAAGCCGGTGGTTTCGGAAATCTTGACAGCGGTTGTTGATTAAAATCAACATGATGCGAATCCATAATGAGTGGCAATGATGTGGTATTGTGCTGAAGATGGGGGTAAAATTAGAAATCCATTAGGTTATTTAGTTCGTTAAATATCCCATTTCCATAGCTATTTTCTTTATTATTGAACTCAACATAGATATTAGGCAAATTTACCCTTTGGAAAACCCTTGAAAGATTGGGGCTTATTTTTTTTATTTCTAATTTGATAAAGAAAACTTTTGGGATGTGTTGTTACTTGTTAGTGGGGTCCAAATTAAGAAAAGAATCGGAGCAAATTTTTTCATGGGTTCAAATAAATAAATGGGCTGGGTTCAATATTAAAATGCCCATATTATTAACAAAGAAAATCTATATTTTTGAGGTGTCAGCTGGACCCCACACTATAATACAAGTAGGTCCGCCCTTGCATATATATATATATGTGGGTGTACAATTATCGTACGCAGCTAGCTTGTTCTCTTTCGTCTAATTTGGATGTTTGCTTGTTGTCATGGGCCTCATGGGCTATAAGCCGCTTTAGACAAATGTATTTTTTTACAAGTCATCATCCTAGAGAGATAGTATATTTATAGGAGAGAATGTTGTTTTATTCTGAGAATGAGAAATAATAGTCTTAAAAGGATAATCTTGTTAATTTTTGTTGCCAAGATAATCTTGCTTATAATGCATGCTTCGTATTTAAATATTTCATATACATGTATATATTAATTACGGTCGGTGAAACCAACCATCATCTTCTAAGTTTATGCATGTAATACTCATATGACTATATGAGAAAGCATCTTAAATTTCTAAATGGTAAAATTAAATTAAATACATAGAAATAAGTTAGAGCATCCTCAATGGTTAGAAACTTATAGTATTTCTTATTTATACTGTAATAATAATTAAAATTAATTTATTTAGATTTTAAAGCATAAAAAATTTGAGCCAATTATATAGTTACATGTGTTTAGTGAGTTTCTTCAAAAAAAAAAAAATTGAAAAGTTTTTAGAGCATCTCTAATGGTACACCAAATCCTATACCAAACCTGTTTTTTGGTGTAAAACCCTCTCCAACCCAACACTATTTTCAACACCAAAATGGTGTAAACTCATTTTTACACCAAATTTAGTGTAGAAAATGGGTTTACACCATTTTGGTGTTGAACTTTTTTATTTATAAAAAGGTCCTTCAAATTTTAATCAACTTTAAAATTAATAAAAATATATATATATTGTGATATTTAATTCCAAAGATTAATATATTTTGTTATTTTATATGTTACAATGTATTTCTTTTATATAATAAATGTTAAATTTAATTTATTTCATAATTTTTTTAACTTAAAAAAATAAGTAGGGTTGATTTGTAAATTTTAAAGAAACAAAAAAAAAAATCTATTAAGAATATTCTATTTTGATGTAAAAATTGGTGTAAACCATTGGAGATACTCTTAAATTATAACTTATTTATCTTCTCTCTCCTATTTATCTATTATTTTTTGTCTTTAATTGATAGAAACCCATAGAGAAACTCCGGAGATGCTCTTAAAAGGGATCCGATAATATTTAGGGAAATTCTTAAACAAAGATTTTATACTTTATCATTATTCTTTTTTAATAACCATTCATTTCATTAAAATAGTTCAACGTAAAAATATTATATACTATAGATAGTTATTTTCTTCTAACGTTATATATCTTAAATGATTATACATTACATTCTAATTATACTTCTTAGAAATTAATGATCATTTAGAAATTTTGGAATGAACATTTGTGTACTTAAACGTTTGTTAATTATTTTTAGCAAGGATAACTAAAAACACAAAACAGCTTAATTACTAGAATAAGTCACATTTAAAAAAAAAATTGCTAAAATATTTTCTGTATCCTTATTTTGTATATATGTAGTCTTATTACAAAACCAAACGAAAAATACAGTG